AAGGTTCAATGTAAATAAGGTTAATCCGTTCTGACCCCTACGAAGGTGGTCGCGAACAGAATAACATTTTTCCATAGGGTTCAATGTAAATAAGCTTAATCCGTTCGGAACCATATGTAAATATTCAAATACCGCTCTGCGCGTTCTTGTCACCTTCATTACCACTCTGCGCGTTCTTTTTACCACCATGCTTGCACACAGTACTGTGTGTGCTAAAAAGCACACAGAAATAGCTTCACAGCAAGTGTGCACAGGTCTGTCTGTGACCGCAATCTCGACTAGAGGAAGCCACGACCACGTGTCAGAGCGAGGAAGATGGTCGTGTTCGTTTTATCTGCAGTTTGTTTAGCTGCATTTAGAAAAAAAAAGAAGCCACGTGCATCCAGGAATGTATTTTCACTTCTAAAAACACCAATCCCATGTAGACCCAAGACGCGTTTATATGCTGAAACCTCATTGGCTACGTCAGTGGACTGTTTCAATGGACAAAGGACAGATGCATCCAAACACATATGCGTGTAAACGTGTACCATTTTTAAGCATAAACAAAGCATTTAGTCTGTGAGATATATCAGACAGATCTGTGCATAAATAAGTGTGAATGGAGCCTTAATCTCCTCTACTCCTGCTGCTGTGATATTTTGTTCTCACCTTTTTAACTGCATAAACTGCAATGTGATTGGATGGGGAGGGTTTCTGCGTTTTGCACATAATCGTTGCTGTTTGCACTGCTTTGCATATCTTTGTATTATTTCCTAGCTGTACATCGGTAAATCAAATTTAGCTTTGCAGACTGTAGCATTTCATGCAGTGAATGAGTTAAAATCAAGCTGTTTTCGATTTTAATCATGCTGCATGTAGCAAGGGTGGGAAATATCACGTGCTGACCGTACGATGGTAATTATAACCCTACATAATCATCATCCTTTTCTAAGGAAAGAATAACTTTCCATTGTTCTAGTACTGACAGCATATGCCGCAAAATGAGATGGCTTTCTAAGCTGTAGGTGACTGCTGGCCCATACTTCTCTCGAGCAATTGCTGATGAAAAATGTCTGTCTACTCCTTCTGTACTCTTCTTTATCAGTATTAAAGAATATTTAAACCCATGAACAAAAATAATATATTGCAGCATACCACCAGTCCTTGGATATGATGGCTGCATTAGTTTTCTTCTTTCAGGTGCTCTCAGCTTGTGTAGCAAGCATTTGTGTGGTACCGTATCAAAAGCCTTTGAGAAATCCAGATGTACCGGTACATTTTTTTTTTTTTTTTAAGTACATAAACATTCTTATTGATCCTGCCAGAAAACATGTGTCCTGGTAACTTTCTGTACAATGTTTTCTGCCTTCCCAGCTATCTTCTTTTAACTACAGATTCATACCTTCCACCTTTTTGGGATGGGAAAGTGGGACCCATCATAGCATAAAGTATTTTGGAAAAGGACACCCCACCACACCTCTAGTAACGTGGACCATGAGAATTAATACACAAATAATGATTGGTTTAACCCAAAATTGCTTTTTCATTACCAATCTTCCTTTTTATTTTTTCAAAATAATCAAAATGGAATAATTTAAAGGTTAGATAAAACGTTTAGTGCAGTAAAACAATTTTGATAAATAATACATTTTTATAGAGATGTATACACAAGGCCAAACAAGTGACAACTGAGGAATAAAGGGGGACAGCGGGGTTGGGTTCCAAATAAGGCACAGTCCCTTCAAATGAGGGGCATTTGGAAGTTACGACTGAACACCTCTTCCCTATGTAATGGATATTTTATCTCCATGTTTGTAGCCAAAATCAGGAGAGCAGCCTAGAGTAACAACGCTGATCCTTTATAGATACAGTACAGGAAGTGAGCGTTGTCACCTTGACAGTGTGTTTGGCAAGTTCACCAGATTACAGCCTGAAAAAAGAAAACTATTGCAGCCACCACATCGAAGGACCAGTAAGCTGCTATATCTTACATTTTTGTTTTTGGGCTTAGAATTGTTTTTTGAAACTTCTAGCAAACCAGTTTATTGCAGTATCTATTTTGTTTAAAGATTGTTAATATTGCAAATACGATTCATGTATAATGTCCTGGTGCACGGAGTTTATAATCTTATTTCTAGGAGTTAAACGCAACAAATTAAAGGGCTAGTCCACCTTGAACTATGATGTTTTTGTAGGATGCTGGGCAGTAAATTTGTCTGTTTTCTCTTGCTCGAGCAATTAACCAAGGGGGCCTCACTCTGCCCGTCATGACCCGCCGCCCGGCATCCTTGATTAGCTGGGGCCACGTTACCTCGGGATGCCGGTATTGGTATTCAGTATCGGCGAGTACCGAAAAAAAAAATATTGGTACTCGTACTCCATGCCGAAAAACTGGTATTGGTGCATCCCTAATTATTATACATGATGTATATAGCTCCAACAGTTTTTGTGCAGCGCTTTATAATCTAGGTAAGACATTACAGTTACAATACAAATCGGCACAAAATGGTAAGGAGAGCCCATGAGAGCTTACAATCTAAAAGGGAGGGGCAAGTGATACATGAGGAGGTAGCTGTGTGGGAATTAATTGTTTGAGAATGTGATAGTTCAATAGTTAGGCTGAGGGGTGATAGGCTTCCCTGAAGAGATGAGTCTTACTGGATCACCTAATGGCAGACAAAGTATGGGATAGATGGACAGGTTGGGGTAAGGTGTTCCAAAGGACTGCAGAGACTATAGAGAAGTCCTAGAGGCGTTAAAATGTATTTTATTTTTTATCCGATTAACCGATTAATCGAACTTAATAATCGGCTAACTAATCGATTTTGAAAATAATCGTTAGCTGCAGCTCTATATTGGTATGACACAAAAAAAGTGGCGAAAGAAAGCCAAATCTGACACATTCCACGCAAAACTCCAAAAATGGACTGGGCAAAATTATTGGCACCCTCAATTATTATTTGGTAGCACAGCCCTTTGAAAAAAATAACTGAAATCAATCGCTTCCTGTAACCATCAATGAGTTTCTTACACCTCTCTACAGGAATTTTGAACCACTCTTCTTTCGCAAACTATTCCAGGTCTCTCAGTCTGGAAGGGTTCCTTTTCCCAAATGCTGATTTGAGACCTCTTCACAGGTGCTCTATGGGATTCAGATCTGAACTCATTGCTGGCCACCCCAACTGCTTTTTGGGTAATTGTCCTGCTGTAAAAACCCATGACCTCTAATGGAGACCCAACTTTCTGACACTGGGCCCCACATTGCACCCCAGAATTCTTTGGTAGTCTTCAGATTTCATATTGCCATGCACACAGCAAGACCTCCAGTTCCCTGAAGCAGCAAAGCAACCCTAAAACATCAGTGAACCTCCACCATGTTTGACTGTATTTTTTTCTTTAAAGACCCCATCTCTTTTTCAGAAAACAGTAGAATGATGGACTTCACCAAAAAGCTGTAATTGTGTTTTGTCTGTCCACAGCACATTCTCCCAAAAGGATTTTGGCTTCCTAAGGTAAGTTTTGGCCAACTCCAATCTGGCTTTTTTATGTTTCTGTGTCAGCAGTATGGTCCTCCTGGGTCTCCTACCATAGCATCCTTTTTCATTCAGATGGCGAAGTATAGTGCAAGCTGACACAGTTGTACCCTGTGCCTGAAGGTTAGCTTGAATTAGTCTGGAAGTTGATTGAGGGTCTTTATCCATCATTCCGACAATCCTTCGTTGCAATCTTTGATGAATTGTTCTCTTTCGTCCACGTCCAGGGAGATTAGCTACAGTGCCATGGGCTGTAAACTTCTTTACAATGTTGCACACAGTGGACACAGGAACATTAAGATCTCTGGAGATGGACTTGTAACCCTGAGATTGTCCATGCTTTCCCACGATTTTTGTTCTCAGATCCTCAGACAATTCTTTGCTGCTCTATGCTTCTCCATGCTTTATGTAGCACACAGAAACACACAACAGAATGATTGAGTCAATTTTTCACCATTTTATCTGATTGCTGGTGTGATTTCTATATTGTCAGCACCTGTTAATTGATACACGTGAGTTTAATTACAAATACAGGAGCATCACAAACTTGGAATGCAATTATTTCTTGCAATTTGGAGAAGGTGCCAATCATTTTTGGAGTTTTGTGTAGAATGCGTCATATTTGGCTTTTTTCCCCTCCACTTTATAGTGCCATACCAATACATACAAAAGAAACATGAGAATGACTAAACATGTGTAATTGCAACAATTTTCTGCGCAAAGTGGTTCATTATCTGACAGAAATGCAGGGGTGTCAACATTTTTGGCCATGACTCTATATATAATCCTGTATTATCAAAGCAAACCTATTTACTACACGTTTGTGGTGCTTTACTGTTCATTTTCTCAGTGTTAGCTATGGGTTGTGACTATAAAGAATTGTAGCCAGAGACAACCAGACAACTAGAACTTTAAAAAGAATTTAAGCTATTGCAGCCCATGTTTCTTCTTTCTTTTTTTTTTTTTCTTTTTCTAAAAGATTTATTTTAAGGGTATCTCAGAATTCAATAGTCTTTTGCTGTCTTGTCACATATTTAAAAGCATTATGCAAATATTTAAGCTGCTTTTAAATCAGCACAGTTTAAAGGGTCTGGTACACTGGAAAATTCTCGTCGAATTTGAGGATACTGTTGCATTGCCCATTTGGGGCCTACACCCCCAACCACTTTATACTCTCCAGAGCTTCCTCATGGATCCTTTTTCTGTGGTTGCCACTGGAAGGTACCCAGTACTTCCGGCTAAGTGGTGAGCATGTGACCACCTCTCATGATGCAGTACTAAGGAAAAGCAACCATTTGCTAGGCCTGAGCACTGCCACATGGCTGAGAGGGTGATATGACTACTCGTTCTGAGGTAGGCCCCATGGAGGTGCACTGGGGATGCCCTGACAGTGACAGTGTCTCTTTAAAAAATGTTTAACTCCTTTTATTATCAAATTTAACAACCAGATACATTTATTTTATGTCTTTTTTTTTTTTTTTACAGATTTAAAAGCACTAATGATTTGCACTGAAAACATATGCACATTTTACTTTAAGTAATAGAAGCCCATTAAATGTGGAGACTTCCACATCAAACAAGCTGCAGAATGGACCACTGTTGAGGCTGCTACACCAATGGATTATTTTGCCTAATGGATGAAAACTATTAAGGTAAATAAAAAAGAAAACAAATGTTGCTACTTACTAAAACTGCTTCTGTATCCAACTTGTTGAACCATGATCTGTGCTGCTGCTGAGGCAATAAACACCCTGGTTACATTTCCCAGGTTGCAGAACAATGAAAAGACATGTCATATGTAAGTGCAGGTACAGGTAGTGAAAGCAAATGCATGCATAAATGTTGCTGTGCGGGTAAAGATAAGAGAAATTTTATCGTAAGAGCAATTTTGCTTTCAAAATAAAGTTCAAAGATGAATGTTTTCTGTATTGAACTCGAGTTTATCTATGGTGATCTACCATATAGCCACAAAAGCCTTCTATAGCAAATGTGCGTTATGTGATTATTGCTTATTATTTAGATATGGAAGCCTGATTATCTATAAAAATATATTTTGCATTAAATGGTGGTTATAGTTTCCAGTCACTGTGGCCAGATTTAATATTTTTTTTAGTTTTGGATTGAGTGTGAAGAACTAAAATTTCTATCAGGCACAGACTAATAGATGTTGCAGCAATTATCTCAGTGTGTCCAAAATCTCCTAGTTTGTCTCAGTGTTCTGCATTACTTGAAATCAAGCCTTCACAGTGGGCCACATAACATACTGTCTATACTATGGAGAAGACTGCTCACTTCAGGTGGCTCTGTCTTTACTGGGTGACTGGTCACCTTAACACCCCCTTGTAGTTCTCTGAAGTAGGGGGAATGGTGCATGCAATGAGGCAATGTTAACTGAGCCTTTCCCCACTCATCGATGTATAGACTTCCTTGAGCCAACCCACCAGTACTTCCTATATTGTTTTGTCTGGTTCTGACTAGGGATCCACCGATACTCGCCCAAATGCTCCGATAACTTTCCCGCGAGGGCACATGGAGCCGGTAAGCTGGCTCCATGCTGATTGGCCGGAAAGCCGGCTTCGCAGCCAATCAGTGTTGAGTCGTGCAAACAGATCTGACAATATGGCCGATCACGCGGGCGCTGTGCACACAGAAAACGTGGGCAGATCCGGGAGAGCGGTGTCTGCCTAGCTGGCCGAGGGACTGGTACGGTAATGACTGCTGCTAAGGATCTATGTGAGGGGAATGAGGTGCCTGTAGGGTGGGGGTCGTGTCACCATATTGTTAGATCTGTTTGGTCGGTCTCGAGGCTTCCCGGCCAATCAGCATCGAGCTGGCCAAACAGAATGGAGTCGGCTCTCCTGGCAATCATGAAGCCGGACGGTGGGTAATGACATGCCACCTGGCTTCCTGATTGCCCGGGAAGCCGTCTCTATGCTACTGGAAGTACTGATATCGGTACTTGGTATCAGCGAGTTTGGAAATATAAATATCGGTACTCCTACTCGATACCGAAAAACCGGTATCTGTGCATCCCTAGTTCTGACCATGCAAAACATTCACATCGGTCTTTTCTTCCTTTTTAGTAGTTTACTATCCAATGTAATCTGATATTCTTACAAGAATCATACATACACACACATTTAAGGGTAGAAGCAAAGTAACTAACCAAATGTTTATAGGTTGTACAAAGAGATTTATAAAACACAGGGATAACATACAAACTAAATGGAGACATTGTTGGGGTGATTAATCAAGAACTGTAGCATTGCAAGTGTTCACTGTCTCACCATTATTTTGCCAATTAGCAATTTATTGTAGCGCTAGTTTACTTTTAGGCGCGAGGCATTCATTGCTATATGATACTGACATCTCTTAAGCAGCCAGTCAGCATGGAACGGTTTAGCAATGTTTGTTCCTAGTTCTCTACATACATAGGTTGGTTAATGTCATAAGTAAGTCAGTGTGTATACTTAGTGAATCTTTTTTGTCAGCTTAGCTTTACTGTGTTTTTAATTTCTTCTTTTTTTTTTTTAGGTTATTTTGATTCACTGTAATCATGGACCTATCATTTCTACATTTTTGGGTATAAAAGAGCATCTGAATCAAGGACTTGCTGAAGGAACTCGGTCAAAGCCTGTTTTGTCACAATGAGTTCGAACCTCTGGGGGCAAGAAAAAAGCAGCTCCACTTACTGGGAAGAACGCATCTTTTACTTGTTGGTCCAGGAATGCAGTTTGGTTGACAAACAGACCCAGAAGCAGATTAAGATCCCAAGGGGAAGCATTGGACAGTTTGTTCAAGAGCGTTCTGCAGTAGCCCATAGCCGGAGCATCCCTCCTAAGAGCAAAAAAGTTCAGATTGCACTAAAAATCTTAGAGCAGCCCCATGCTCTTCTGTTTGTGGATGAGAAGGAAGTTATTGAGATCGCAGAGAAGCTGGCTGAATTGCTTTTGGCCATTACAAACTGTGAGGAGAGGTACAGCTTGTTCAAGAATAAAGCGAGACTTTCTAAAGCTTTACAAATTGAGACTGGCTCTGCTGTAAGGGTGTATATGAGACCGGGAGACGGGCACTTTCCAGGTGTGGTGCGATATAGGGGACCATTGTTGCCAGAAAGGACTGTCACAGGTATATGGTTTGGTGTGGAATTATTGGTAAGTTTTTCTCTTAATCTACGTTACATTTTATTTTACTAGGTAGAAGCCATTTATTTGGAAATTAAATGAAGTGTTTTGGTGAAGCACCTACTTCCCTTGTCCCACTTAGTCACTGCCACTACTCAGATTTTCCTTTTGGCAGCATGAAGTAGTCAATGCGCTTTTCAAGTTATCTGTTTATTTAAATGGATGGTTAAATCCACACTCCGGGCAAAATTTGAATCTACAAATCACACTGGGTGTGTAAATTATCAGCTGGGTGTTCTGTGTAAAGGGCTGCTGCAAAGTATAAAAATCTTACCTAGCAGCATGCCAGCCCCTGCACACAACACCCAGCTTCCGGTCCCTGAAGAGAGGGAGACATGCGACTTGAACTGTACAGCGCTGCAGTCACATTACCCATCCCTTTTCTCTTTAATCCATTCAGAAAATGTCTTGTATAAAAATAAATCTACCCTTGCAATGGGGCTACTCCCGCACCGCAAGGATTACCTGTATGGTGTACGCTCCGGCTTGTGGATTGACTGTTGGCATCCCCGTGTGTATATATGTGTCTATATGCCCATAGCCCTGCATTAGATGGAATGATGTCAGAGGGCCATCGACCAATGTAGTAGAGAGCAGAAAGGTCCCCTAGACATAAACAAGCAGTTAACCCTTGTGATATGGGGGTATCTGCTACTGCAAAGGTGTTTTTTGGGGGCTTGAAATAGCAAATAACCGATCAACCCTGTTGTCTTTCGGGATCATGAAGTTAGTTGTGCATGGCAGAAACTCCTCCACCAGCTAAAACTATACAATTAGAAATAAGCCAGCTTACAGCATGAAAAGGCATTCATAGACTAGTAGACTGCCAAAGTTTGTCACATGGATTGTTGAATAAAAGTTATTTGGAGGATTTTTGTGTCTGTGTGCCTGTAATGTTATTGCAATGACTTATTGCAGTGTTCCATATTTTGGGCTTGTGGAAAATATATAGGTGACTGACAATACATTGTACTATAGAATGGATTTATTTTAACAAACTGAAGGCTCCCCCTTAATGCAGGGGCCCAAATTTCAAGTCCTGAGCTACTAGCCAGGTCTTAAGAGTTACTCGCCACCAGTTGCCCACCTAAGCCCTACCCTGGCCCAGAATTAACTCCGCCCCTAAACACACCCTCTTAAATAATCTTAACAAAATTACCATAAACCTCCCTGGCCCCACATCTAAAATAATACACTCTCCCCGCTGTTCCCTGCCCCCCACATAAAATAATACACTTCCCCCCTGTAATATAAAACAATGAAGCCCTCTCACCTGATTGTCTTTCTGCAGGGAGCAGGCACGATCCCTGGTGATTAGTCGTGATTAGTAAGGTCTTCTGCAGACCTTACTAATCCATTATTTTTCAGCCGGAGCTCAGGGTCCTGCTGTCGCGCGTCGTGTGTCGCTACAGCAGGACCCTTTTTGGAGCGGATTTAGCCGCGATTCAAGCTTGCTCAATGCAAGCTTGAACGCGATATCGCGCGGCAAATCTCGCGATGTTGCGCAATATGCAAATCGCGCGATTTGCCTAAAGAGCTGCGGCTGAAAGCAACAGACAGCCCAGCAAGGAGCAGCTGCTCCCACAAGGCAGGTACGCGGTCTGTGACCGCGAGCCTGACTGTATTTCCACTCGCCTGCACTGTATTTCCACTTGCCAAATGCGAGCAGACGAGTGGAAATGTTGAGCCCTGCCCTAATGTATAGATACCACTATATGATACCTTTTGCTCTAGGCATTACTTGGGGAAAAATGGCAGAATACATTTTCTTTATTACTCTTGAGCAATAAGCAGAAAATTAAAAGCAAACGTTGTATCTCATCATTTGCAGCATTTCTTTATAACTCAGGTGAGTGCAGCGAAGTCAGAGTAAGCAATCTCACTACCGGAGAGGAGCCTGAACTTTTGCAAGGCAGAAAATAAAGCTGAAGTTTAGCTTAAAAATTACTCCTTGATGCAAAATTAAGTATACCAACTATTTTGGGTAATTTCTGCTGATATGTGGTCATAAAGATGATGTACATTTCTATAATTGTAACTGATCTTTTAAAATGTACAGATTCAGCAGGCTTCAAAGACCTCAACAGGAAAACATACTTAGGGGAATTGGTTTACCGCACTTACAGCTTTACTGTATGTCTGTTCTATTTGTCTGCAGTCTTGATTTGTGCCATAGTACCAATGACAGATTGTGGTCATCAATACAGTCTATCCTTATTACATTTCCTAGCCCTCTTGGTTGGTTTTGTACTACAGAGCCCAGCTGGCCAACTTCCTGTATTTAGGTTCTTCTGATCTTCGTTGTTAACATGGGCGTATTTACTATAAGTCTGTCTGTCATACCATGACCTGTCACCCAGATGCTTGACCATTCTTACTGAAGCCCTTTAAGCCAACAATTTGTTAAGGAAATTAAGGATATGGGTCATCATCGCTGGCATATAATTTTTTTTCCCTCACACTACAGTTTAGGAAGAATTCCCAAATCGCCTTCATAAACACCTAATTGATAAATATCTAAGCATTTTACTAAATGATGACATTTTCATAGATCTTTGCTTTCATTTGGACTGCCATTTGACTGTGCTATCACTCCATATTCACCCTTGCAATATTCAGGGGGTTATTCACTAAAGAACCGAAGGATCCAGCCGTAGCTTTGGCTGATCCTTCGGCCGCCTCTGCCATTCGGTTCAGTCGAACCAAAGGGCTGCTCTACAGGCTATTCACAATAGCGCGTATAGCAACCAAAGGTAGCTCAGCCAAACGCATATGCTTTGGCTCCCCTGAGCCGTAGTGACACCCGAAGCACGGAGAACAGTTGGCCAAAGCCGACCGATCTCCACACAAATGACAGCTGGGCGGGAACCGCCCAGTTGTAATGACAGATCAGCGTCCCCAAAGGACCTGGGGACGCTGATCTGTCATTAAACAATACCAACTGTGCGGATGTCACAGCCAGCTCCGCCCAGTTGTTATTCATTGGCCGGGACCTGCTAGAAGACTCTGGCAGGTGTCGGCCAAAAGGAAACAGTTGGGGGGAGCTAGCTGTCACCGCTACTCCGCCCAATTGTTTTTTCTTTTCTTTTAAAATACATTTTTTTAAATGTAATACTTTTTTTCATTCTTTCCTCCGAGGTACCGAGCAGAATAGCCAAGCCGAATGCTGCTTGGCTGCATTCAGCTATTCACTCACTGACATTCGGCCCCTATGAGAATAGAGGTGAACACCAGCGAGTAAGCTGCCGGAGCTTCGGCCCAGCCGAAACAGATGTTGGATCGGCTGAGTCAAACTCCTTCTGAACTTCGGCTCAGCCGAACATGCAGAGCATGTTCGGCTGATCGAAGGCAGC